AGAATCAGCTGGTGGGAAGCGGGACTGACCCGGGCACATGCAGATCCCGGGGTGCTGCCCCTCCTGTGCACGGTCCCGGAGAAGCACAAGTGAGTCTGGTCCCGGGGGTCCCATCCCACTCCTGCCCCCCGGCCCCCCTGCCCTGGCTCATGCAGCATGAGTGTGTCGACCAGCCAGGCAGATCGCAGCTACGTACTGATACTCCTGATAATAAAACGTACCTAATTAGAAAATACAGGACATTTTATATGTCCGGTATTTTCTCAATTTGTTTCCCAGACAGACCCCTCAAATACTGAACTGTCCAGTTCAAAACCGGACACCTGGCAACCCTATGGTGGGGCGGCAGCAGGGGTCGGCCCTCCCCACACACTTACAGCAGCAGTGGGATCCAGAGCAGCCTGCTCCGCTCCATCCCGCTGCCCTCTCCCAGCCTCCTGTGCTCAGAGAGCTGGGGCGCAGTGGGATGGGAGAGGGGGGCAGGGTGAAGCAGGGGGCTGGGGTGGAGCAGAGGTAGGATGGGGTCTGTGGTAGGGCGGGGCCTGGCCTGGCCTGGCCTGGCAGGCTCTTCAGTGTAGCAGAGGAAGGTCAAACACAACCCAAGAGCGGGAGGTGGAAGTGAGTCAACTTCAGACAGGAAATCAGGCCTGAATTCTGGCGCATGAGGGGAACTGAGCACTGGAGCAAGGCGCCAAGGGTTCTACCTCGCTGATAGCCAGGAAGGATGTTTTTCTCCGAGCTCTGCTCTGGGAATGGTTTGAAGGCAGTTCTCGAAACAGGAACTCAGGCCACATGATCCAGTGCTCCCTTCTGGTCTTAGAAGTCAGCAGTGAAGGGACGGGTAGCTCTGAAAACACCAGAAGAATCGGCACAACAGACCTGTTTTTGTTTGCCTGGGGACTCCCGGCAGGGAAAGGAAGGATCTGCCCTCTGACATGGGAATATGTAACAGGAGGCAGTGTGGCCTAGTGGCCAGAGCACAGAATTGGGAGGCAGGTGAACAGGGCAGCTCTCTTGCTGCCCTGCTGGGTGACCCTGAGCAAGACTCGTCCCTGCTTTGTTCCTCAGTTTACCCTTTTGTACAACAGGGACAATTCCCTGGGTAAGCACTTTGAAATTGGTTGATGATAAACATAGGAGCCTCTGTTGACATTGCTTTGCTCCTTAGCTAGCTTGTGTTGGTGAAAAATGAAGGGAAGAACTAGGTACCTTTAATGCCACATGGGGAGTGATTCATGGCTGCCCTATCCCCCCTCCTGCCCTGGGGAACGCCCCCTAGTACAGGCTTGTGGGAGCAGGGCTAACACCCTATGGGTCTGCATCCATGCATAGGAGCTATTGAACTAAGGGTACAAATTAGGCTGCTCTGACCTACACATATAATGGTCTGCAAGCCTAGACCAATCCGCGGCTGGGCATAACCCAGCCCAGCCACTCTTCAGTGTTACCTGCCCTGCCACCCTACAAAAGGCCAGGTCTGCCCTGCCGGCTGATTCTCCACTCCCCAGGACATTTCAACTTTGAATTTGTTTTTTTTTTAATGAAACAACAACAGACATTTCCCCTGCGCCAGAATTCCGAAACCAAACTTCCCTCCGCTCAGTCAGAAAGTTCCGCGCGGAGATGAAGAAATGAAACGTCCCCGCCTGATTTGGGGGCAAAGAAGCCGATAAAATAAACGACACGTTGAAAGAAAAAGCCGTTCTGAAACAAAATTAAAATCCAAACGTTCCATGTCGATATGTGACAAAACGCAACATTTCAGCCTGATCCAAATCTCCAAACTCCGCCCCCACCCAGCAGGATTAGAAGGGAACGGATGTGCTCCCCTTAAAAAGTTTGCATCATCAACCTGGCGTTTTCTGATGGGAAAATGTTCCGTTGGAAAATGCCTGGTCAGCGATACTCAGGCGGCAGGGATCAGCATTCACATTGCAGGCCACATCAGTACCTGCCATGGGCTGGGGAAGTAAATGGCCCAACTAGCAGCTCAAATTCGATGATGAATCCTGCTCACAGGCCACTGAGGCAGGTGGTGCGCACACTAGGAAGAAGCCCTGGGCAGCGCTGTGGTAACCATTTCTGTCCCGGGATAGTAGCCAGACAAAGCTGGTGTCAGTGTGGGCATCGCTCCCAGGTGTGTCCATTACAGCATCCATCCATCCAGCTGTGCCAGCGAGTGGGATCGTATGCTCTTGGTCCACATGGCGGGGGTTAAAAATTTCAGAAGTGCCTCCGACCTGTTCGATACGCAGGCTTTGAAAGGGTGTGACTCTCTTGGTTAGGGGGATTTTGAACAGATATCGTTGCATGGGTCCAACGCCCAGTGTGGGCTTTTTATTCAGGCACAGCAGAGCGTTTAGTGAGTAGAGTACTCACCAGGGTTTCAATTCCTAGTGTTACCACTGGCTTTTCATGTCACTTCCGACAAGTCAGTTTCCCCATTTGTGACTGATGGGCAAAAAAGACCCACAGAGGAAGTGTTGTACTGCACTGATGAAACTTGTATAAGCTGGCAAGCTCTCCAGCTCAGGGCCAAAATATGAACTTAAAAGAGTTTAATTCTGATAATGATCAATGCACTGTAATCTGCCCAAGTCATGTTCGAGGGAGCATCCTGTTATCTTGCTTACTTCTTTTCTTTTCTAGCTTTTTAAACACTGATTAAGAAATGGCGAGATTACACGGGCACTTTGTGAAGGGGATAACAAGTATTTTATTCCATTTACTGTTTGTAAAAGATAAAATCCACCGCTTGGTGACCGCATGACGCTCAGAGATAGCTGAAGAACCTCCCTTCCATCTCCCTGCCTCAACCTCTCCCCCACTTTTAACATTGGCTAAACATGTGGTGTTAAATGTCAAAAAATAACTTTTTTTGACATTTAACATGAGGGCTGTTTTTTTAGATAAGTTAGTTATCTAGTGAGGGGAGCAGAGGGTGATGGACCTTGTTTCATAATCTTGGGACTAGCGGATTGGCTCAGGAAAAAGTATTTTATGACACAGCTGTAGAACAGGTTCAGATTAGACCAGCTGAGGTGGGGATAACTAATGTTGGGAGGCCGTGTGCCTTGGGAGCTCTCTCTTTCCCCAGGGACAGCCACAAGGGTAAGCTTCTGGCTTCTCCCCCTCTCTGTTGCTGCTTTTCTGTCCTTAGCTCTTTCTCTTCCTCAGCCATGTGCTGTCTTTGCCCCTCTTTAAATTCCCCCTTTTCTTCTGTGTGTTCTCTTTTAGCCTGTTTTTATATTTTTCTTTTTTAATGTTCCAAAATAACTCTCTTAAAATGCTCTTTTCCTCACCCATCCTTATTTAATATTTTTTTCAAAATGTTTCTCTCTTAGCCTCCCTATATATAAAAAAACTTTTCTCTAAAGTTGTTTTTATCGTGTTCTTACTAAACAATCTTCACTTTAGAATAAAATAATATAAAATTCCCTTTTCTGCCATGTGCTATTGCTTAACCTTTCTTTATATGTTTATTTAATATTTCAAAATAACAATTTTAAATGTTCTTTACTTAACCTACTTTTATATTGAGAATTTGAAAGTTTTTAAAAATGCTCCTCTCTTAACTTTTATATTTTTCCTTGTAATATTTTATTTATTTTGAAATAACTCCTAACTCTTTTAAATGTTCTTTTTTACTTACAGGCAGTCCCCGGGTTACGTACAAGATAGGGACTGTAGGTTTGTTCTTAAGTTGAATCTGTATGTAAGTCGGAACTGGTACATATTGTAGGGGAAACTCTAGCCAAACATTTCTCCAGAGCTCAGTTTTATTCTCCCACACCTCACTTCCCTCAGTCCTTTATTCTCAAGATGAGGTGTCTGCTGAGAAAAGCCGCTCCGCGTCTCCCTGGTCTGCTGGGGGGGGCGCTAGCTTCGCGTCTCCCTGGTCTGCTGGGGGGAAGCAGCTAGTGCGGGGTTGCCTCACCCATTTGTAAGTAGGGATCCGATGTAAGTCGGATCCATGTAACCCGGGGACTGCCTGTATTCCCCATGCCAAATATAAATACTTAATACATTTTTTTTCCTTTCAGGTAGCCAAAAGTGCCAAACCTCAAGAGGAACAGAAATGGAGCTGGAGGGTGAGTTTTAAGCCCTAAAAGGGTGGTGGAAACCTGTCAGAAGTACATGGTGATGAATGCTATTGAGGTTTAATTTCACAAAGCTGAGGAGTTGATGGAAAGGAACAGTGGCAATTGTGTGAGAGAATGCAGAAGGGCTCTGATCACATCTGTCTGAGGCGTTAGGAAGGAAGCCGAGGAGAAGAGAAATGAGCTGAGTGGAGACGAGGAGTCAGGCTGTCTGCCCAGAGCAGAGGGCAAGGAGGTGGCTGGGAAGTCAGAGGGGCCCGGAGCATTTGCCCGGTAGCACCAGGTCCCGACAGAGCTGCAGAGCCCGAGAGACCTTCGGGGCCAGAAGAACTCCTTGCTCCTAGCATCCTTCTGCCACCCCTGGCGCTGGGATCTCTGAAGCATGGAGGAGCAGCTGTACTGGGAGGCCTATGGCGACAACCAGACAAGTGACTGTGATTACGAGGAGTGGAGCCCGTCCCTGGTGCTCATCCCCACCATCTACCTGCTGGTTTTCCTGCTGGGTACCACTGGCAACGGCTTGGTGCTGTGGACCATCTTCCGAGGAGGGCAAGAGAAGCGGTGTTTGTCCGACACCTTCATCGCCAACCTCGCCATGGCTAACCTGACCTTCGTCGTCACCCTGCCTCTTTGGGCTGCCTACACCTGGCTGGGCTACCACTGGCCCTTCGGGTCCTTCGCTTGTAAGCTCAGCAGTTACCTGGTCTTCGTCAACATGTACGCCAGCGTCTTCTGCCTGATGGGCCTCAGCATTGACCGCTACTTGGCCATCGTGCGGCCCATGGCTAATGCCAAGATGAGGTGGAGGGCCAGCGGGCTGGTGGCCACCGTTGCCCTGTGGGCCTTGGCGGCCATTTTGGCTTTGCCAGCCATGATCCTCCGGCGAGCATCGGTGCTACCCGGGGAAACCAAGGTGACGTGCTACATGGACTACTCAGGCATGGTGGCCAACGGGACCGAGGGGGCCTGGGAAGTGGGGCTGGGCCTGTCTTCCACCATGCTGGGCTTCGTGGTCCCCTTTGTCGTCATGCTGACCTGCTACTTCTTCATCGCCCGCACCATCGCTGACCACTTCCGGAAGGAGCACGGCGAGGAGATGAGGAAGAGGAAACGGCTGCTGAGCGTCATCATCGTGCTGGTGGCCACTTTTGCCCTCTGTTGGCTGCCCTTCCACCTGGGGCAGACCATCTATGTGCTGATGGACATGGACATGATGCCCTGGTCCTGTGGTTTCCACGCCTTCCTCAATAACTTGCACCCCTACTGCACCTGCGTGGCCTACATCAACAGCTGCCTCAACCCCTTCCTCTACGCCTTCTTTGACCCCCGCTTCCGGCAGGCCTGTACCGCTGTCCTGTGCTGCAGAAGGGGGTGCTGTCCGGGGTCCAGCAAGGACAGGTCAGCCAGCGACTCCTCCGGCCACAGCCAGGACCTACCGCTTCCGGCAGGCCTGTACCGCTGTCCTGTGCTGCAGAAGGGGGTGCTGTAGGCCTGTACCGCTGTCCTGTGCTGCAGCCGGGGGCGCTGGCCGGGGTCCAGCAAGGACAGGTCAGCCAGCGACTCCTCCGGCCACAGCCAGGACCTACAGGGGAAGGGTGTGGAACTGCAGCAGGTGAAACTGGGTCCAGGCAGGCAGGAAAAACTGCTTCAAGGCTAAGAGAAGTGGGAGGGCACAGACCCATCCACAGGGACATTGTCTGCTGCCCCCTGTCTTCCATTCCTTCTCTCGCGCCTTCTTTTTTCTTTTCTCTCCGCCACTGCTTCCCTCGTTCATCCTTTGTCCTCTTCCATGTCTCCTTCTTTTCCTTCAGCTTTCTTAGATTCACTCCTCCCTTTGTGCAGCCCTTGTGAGGAGAAGGCATCCCAAGGTCTGTGGCTAAGCTGTGGAACTTCATTTCTAGCCTTTGGCATGGCAAGGTCTGCTAGGGGCCTGTCTACACTGTGTCTGACAGAAGCCTCCCATATAGTCATTCAAGGATGGATCCAAGTGCTCAGGCAGGCTTGTGTCTGTATGGCTAGACCAGGCTCGTACTCACACATGCTGCTATTTCTGGCAACCCAGTGCTTGTCTGTTTTCCCAGCTGCAGTGTAGACTGTCACAGAAAAACTAATACTTAGGGCCTGCAGCTTAGCAGGCTAGGATGAAAGTTCCCATCTTTGAAGTACATATCAGTGTCTATTGATTTTTATTAAGCAGGTATGAATTCTTCACTATCATCTCTTAAAAATCTAAGATAACTAGGGGTACGTCTACACTACAGCGCTAGTTCGAACTAACTTAGTTCGAATTAGTTAATTCGAACTAAGCTAGTTCGAACTAACGCATCTAGAACTAAAAACTAGTTCGAACTAGCGTTTTGCTAGTTCGAACTAGTAAGTCCACATTGAGTGGACTCTGAACAGGGCTTAAGGATGGCCGGAAGCAGTGCTGGCAGGGCATAAAAGGAGGACTTAGAGCATGGAGATGCTGTCTCAGGCTAGCCGAGGGCTGCGCTTAAAGGGTCCCGACCCCCACCCCGGACACACAGTTCTAAGGGGTGCCCCGCTTGCAAAGAAGTTCTGGCTTGGAGTGCCCTGAGTGCCCACACTGGGCACATCACACCACTCGGCCATCAGCCCGGCTGCACTTGCCGCAGGCTGCCATCTGGGGAGAGGGAGTAATTGGGGGGCTGCAGGAGAGCTTCCACCCCCAGAAGCCCGCAGAGCCAGCCCAGTCCTCCCCATCGGGGGCTCGTACCCCATTCCTCCCTCACCTCCTTCCACTTACCCTTCCCTAGCCCCCCTTCTTATTGATGTACAAAATAAAGATAACGTTTCTTCCAACATTGACTCTGTCTTTATTGAAAAAAAACTGGGGGAGACTGGGAAAAGGAGGTGGGAGAGGGGAAGAGAAAGGCTGGGAGAGGGGAGGGCAACTAACATGATCAGGGGTTGGGAACAGGTCCCAGATGAAGAAAGGCTACAGAGACTGGGACTGTTCAGCTTAGAAAAGAGGAGACGGAGGGGGGACAGGATAGAGGTCTCTAAAAGCAGGGGTTGGGTGGAGAGGGTGCATTCAGAAAAGTTCTTCCTGAGATCCCATAAAGAAGGACTAGAGGACACCAAAGGAAAGGAATGGGTAGCAGGCTTGAAACTAGTAAGAGAAAGTTGTTGTTCTTGACAAAGCAAATAGTTAACCTGTGGAACTCCTTGCTGCAGGAGGCTGTGAAGGCTACAACTAGAACAGAGTTTAAAGGGAAGTGAGATAAAGTGATGGAGGTTGGGTCCATGGAGTCCTATTAGCCAGAGGGTAGGAGTGGTGTCCCTGCCCAAAGTTTGTGGAAGGCTGGAGAGGGATGGCACGAGACAAATGGCTTGGTCACTGTCTTCGGTCCATCCCCTCCAGGGTCCATAGGGTTGGCCGCTGTCGGCAGACAGGCTATGGGCTAGATGGACCTTTGGTCTGACCCAGTACGGCCATTGTAAGCTCAGGGCTCAGTGTCGGGGGTCTCAGTGGACCCCCTTGATTTTCATGCACACCTGGTCCTGGGTGGCCAGGCTGGCAGCTCTCCTGCCCTAGACGGCCACTTTCCTGTGCCTAGTGCCGTGCCAGGTGCAGGGTCTGCTAGCTGGGTGCTGGCAGGCTTGCACCTGGCACGGGCACCGTAGCCAGCCCGTGCCCCTTTAAGGGGTCCGGGGCCGGGAGGGGGGCATAGAGTTTCCCTGGTGTTGGCCAGAGTGGCCACCAGGGAAACCTGGGAAGCCTTAGCCTCCCCCTAGTTCGAACTAAAGGGCTACACAGCCCTTAGTTCGAACTAGCTAGTTCGAACTAGGCGTTAGTCCTCGTAAAATGAGGTTTACCTAGTTCGAACTAAGCGCTCCGCTAGTTCGATTCAAATTCGAACTAGCGGAGCGCTAGTGTAGCACCTATTAAAGTTAGTTCGAACTAACGTCCGTTAGTTCGAACTAACTTTGTAGTGTAGACATACCCTCTCAGCTTTACCCCATGCCTTGAGCTGGAAACTACTAAGAGGTAAACAAGTTTGACCTCCGGCTCAACTCATGAGAATGTTAAGAGTGGCATTAAGTCAGTACGTGCACAACTGGTAAACAACTGTAGTATAAGTAGTGTAGGGAGTCTCGTGCCTGGTGGGTCTCACCAGGGACCTAGACCTCAGAGGGTGCCCTGGATTCCCTCAGCTGGAGCCACATCTACTGTAACCTGGTGCAAGGTGAAAGGAACGGGACTCCCCACAGACTGAAGGGGCGTAAGCATTTCTAAGTGCCTGTGTGATGGGGCGAACAAGCCCCACACTAAAGGGCGGAGAGTAGCCCAGGCCCAGCTGGCTGAAAGGGCCCCGCCCTTACAGCCCTGCTGGGCATGCTCCCGGCCGGGCCAGTATATAAAGCAGGCAGTGGCCCAGCAGAGGGGATAGCAGCTAGAGGTCAGGAGGAGCCAGGTTGCAAATCCAGTGTTCCTGCGGCATCTCGGACTCAACTGAAGGCGGGTGTGGGACCCCGGGAGTGAAGCCGACCCCAACCCTGCGGAGTAACGGGCACACCTGCTGGTAAGGACCGCCGCACAGACAGACAGGCTAGGAAAGGGAGGTGCTAGGGTGGTAGGAAGCGGCCCAGGGCAGAGGTTTCCTAATCCAGCTTGGTGCATAGCGGCTGGATTCCCCACCAAGCTGGCAGGACCTTGAGTCCCTGCCCACAGGGCCCTGGGCCGGGACCCGGTGGAGAGGGAGTCACTCGGGCCTGAAGAGGCTTTTCCCCAGAACTAGGCTGGAGTACCGTATATGCCCTGAGAGCAGGGCCGAGACTTTTGGGGATTTTGGTTACTCTATATGCCCTGATAAAGGGGCCGAGACTTTTACGTTGGGACTGTGGGTACTGTGTAGGCCTGTAGTAGGAGGCCGAAACCCCTGACAGGGGCGTACCCCCTGACAGCCTGTTACTCTCTTGTGCATTGCTCTGCCTATGCTTATTGATGTGTCCCTTTGCAGTAGCTGTGTAACCATAGGGCAGCATTATCCCTGTAATAGTAGTGATGTAGTGAGATTAATAAAAGCAACTATCCCTAATTGACACTGGTAAAGCGAATTCATAATCCTGTTTGGCTATGGCCCTGTGAGTTGACATAGACATAGCCGGGAGGACCCCAGGGATAAGGGATGTCTGCATTCCTGTTCCTTGCTCCTGGGGCTGGCAGGGGTCCATTCTGGTCACTGGCTGGGCTTTGGGGTAGGGTGTTAATTTTGTAGCGGTGGAAGGGTTGGGAGCTGGAAGATTCCTCAAATAATCACTCCTGTAACTTAGTGGCCCCTCCCTGCTTTAGAGTTGGTTTCAGTGCTCTGCACAGGGTCTCGTGGCTGGATGGCTGCACTTGCCTCTCCTGAGACACTAGCAGCTGCTCAGTGACATTATCTGATTAAAATATGACCATCTAGATCCCTGGTGTAACCTCAGTTATGTGTTTGCAGCAACTCTTGTACAAGCTGTGTCCAGTGAGGTGTCTATGGAAAGCTCACAACTTGCTGGTTATGCCATTCAGACACATCTATCATTTTGCATTTGAGACTATGAACATGGGCTATGCACTTTTATTTCAAAAGTTTGTTTCTGGGAGAATCATAGAATCATAGAATACTAGGACTGGAAGGGACCTCGAGAGGTCATCGAGTCCAGCCCCCCGCCCTCAAGGCAGGATCAAGCTCCGTCTACACCATCCCTGACAGATGTCTATCTAACCTGTTCTTAAATATCTCCAGAGAGGGAGATTCCACCACCTCCCTTGGCAATTTATTCCAATATTTGACCACCCTGACAGTTAGGAATTTTTTCCTAATGTCCAATCTAAACCTCCCCTGCTGCACTTTAAGCCCATTACTCCTTGTCCTGTCCTCAGAAACCAAGAGGAACAAATTTTCGCCTTCCTCCTTGTGACACCCTTTTAGATATTTGAAAACCGCTATCATGTCCCCCCTTAATCTTCTTTTTTCCAAACTAAACAAAAGAAGCCCACACTGGGTTTGATCAACGTTTTGTGAGGGGACTATGCAGGCTGAATACCAGTCCTTGCCCGACAATGGGCATTGAGACGTGTCAATCCACATCTGGGAAGCCTTCCTGAGAATGTTCAGACTAGCATGAGAACAATGGCTTCTCCCTGCTAAGAGCTGAGTCGTGCACGGACCGGTGACTTGCCCATGTGACTCCAGACACCATCTTGTTGATGTACTTTTCCACAGCAAGAACAATGGGATTCCGTCCACATGGCCCTGGATATCCTTCCATTTTTGTCTTCAGTCCTTCTTCTGACCACTTTGCTACAAACTGAAGCTCTAGACGAAGATCTGAACGATCCATCCAGGCTGTGGCTGTTCTCCAAAGACCTGACTTATGCCAGCACTGCTACAAGCTTGCACCAAGAACTTTGCAATTGCTGGATGTATTGGATTCCTTTCACAATTCTTTCTCTCCTTGTCTTTTTTAAAATTCTAAACGATGCGCTGCCAGCGTGATTTTTGGGTGAGCTCCTAAGTTATAACTAGACCTGGGCATGTGGCTGATCCTTGAAGTCCGAAGAAACTTGTATTTGATGACATAGGTTTTTATTAACCTCCCGTCTCTATAAGGAGCGTTATCAGAGAACTGGAGTGTCTGAGGGAATTGTGAGTGTGACTTCTTGTCAGCCAGAGAGGGGAAACAGAAGTTTTCTTTTGGACGGGTTTGGTTTGCCTTACAGTGAAGGAGCCTCTGTCTTGGGCTGCGGAAACTCTGTTTCCAAGCAGTTTGCCTTGAATAGGTACTCACAGCAATGTCCCCCCCAGAACATACTTCCTCACACACCGGTCCCATGTGATCCCTACTTCCCTGTCCTTCCATACGAGGGTCGCCTCTTTCTCCCCAACCAGTGGCTCTTATGCATACCCATTTCCTCCTTTCTGCATACAGAGAGCTCAGTACACCCCATTTCCTGCTTATTGGGGGCCATGTCCCTTTTCCTGTGAGCCAGGGGTTCAGTGCGTTCCCTTGTCATGAACGGGGGAGTGTTGACCAGCACCCGGTGACTAAGGGGTTAACTCAGGTACCTAGCAAAGGTGTTGGCCAGGGGGCCGGGAGAGTCAATCAAGATAGAGGCTTGAAACTTGAATTGGATATAGATTCCCAGCCTGCTTTC